GAGAGATAGTGAACTGGCCCCCTGTTTTAAAAGTTTAAGGACCCCTGGTTGAGGATTTAAATAAGATAATGTAGTGAAAGTACTTGCGGCAATTACATAATCTGCCAATTTGAGCGAAGGGGTAGAGTCTACAATGTCAATCGGGTCACAAGGTAACACCCACCAGGAGGATTCTGGGAACTTCCTCTTTTTCTCCTGGGAAGAGGACCACACACTCTCTGCTTCCCATTCTGTTGACAAGCCACGTGGAGCCATTGCTGATGGCAGCCGGAGCCCTGGAGCTGGAGGAATCACATGGAGAGCCGTGCCAGCACTGAGATGCTTCCACAAGACTTTCCACCTACTGGCCTCTGATCTACCTGCCCTCGACATCATTGCACGAGCTTCCTGGGGCTGTAGAAGAATTTATGGACTAGTGTCAGACATATGAGCTAATATCGGACTTATGGGCTAATATTGAACTTCTGGACTAGATCTGGACTGGGCCAGGATGTTTTCTTAATATGCAATGACTCTTGGATAGAAAGCTCTTTCTTATACATGCTTGAGTGCCTCTGGATTTGTTTCTCTAGTCCACCCAGACTAACACAGTACTCATCCCAATAGGATACAGAAATAAAGGGGTGGGGGGGAGTTCTTGATGTTCATCTAACGTGCCAAGCTTCCCCCATTGTGCTGGGCCCTCAGCCTGGAATCCTGAACTACATTCTCCCAGTGGCTCATCCCTCACTTTGCTCTCTTGGTCTAAGGGTTACCTCCACAGGGAAGCCTCCCCTGATCCCTCTCAGCACCCTCCCCATCATGTGGGCTCCCCTGGCCCTGCTTTCCCTCTGTTTGCTAACTGAAAGGTTGGCCGTTCAATGCCACCCAGAGGTGCTGTGGGGAAAAGGCTATGCATCTACTGCCAAAAATATCACCCACCAGAACCCCCTCAAGGAGGGCTGGTGGTGTAGTGGTTATGCGTCCGGCTGCGATCCGCATGGTCGACAGTTCAAAACCACCGGCAGCTCTGACGGAGACAGACTGGGCTTTCTACTCCTGTAAACAGTTACAGTCTCGGAAACCCACAGGGGGTCGCTCTGAGTCAGCACTGAGTCCACGGCAGTGTGTTTGGTTTGGTTTGCAGCTGCTCTAGAACCCAGTTCCAGTGTGGCATACTTGGAGGTTGCCACGCATTAGAATAGCCTTGACAGTGACCGGTTTGGCACATTTAGTTTTAAGGGCACTACCATTACCTGAAGGAGTCCTGGTGACACTGTCTGGTAAGCGTGGCTGGACTGTTCACCCCAAGTTTGGCAGTTCAAACCCACCAGCCGCTCCATGGAAAAAGATGAGGCTGTCTGCGCCTGTCGATTTACACACTGTATATAGCTTATGAAAATGTAGACCCTATGCAGGGGTGGGGAAAACCTCTTTTCTGTCAAGGGCCATTTGGCTGTTTATAACATCATTCATGGGCCATCCTGGTCAAGCTTGTAATGAATGCATCCCTACTGGATGGCTGGAACTGCTTCTCTCAGTGAGACCTATGATGTTGGCCGGTGTTGAAGAGTTTGTAGATCTTATACAGCCTGAGTGCTGGATGCTCTCTACCCCTGCTATGCAAGGTCACTAGGAGTCAGAATCAACTCAATGGCAACATTTTTTTGTTTTTTTAAAATCATTTTATTGGGGGCTCTCACAGCTCTTAACACAATTCATACTTATATCCATTGTGTCAAGCACCTTTGTACATCTGTTGCCATCATCATTCTCAAAACATGTGCTTTCTACTTGAGCTCTTGGTATCAGTTCCTCATTTCCCCCTCCCGTCCCAACTCCCTGCCTCACCCTTGATAATTTATACATTGTTATTCTTTTTTCATGTCTTACACTAACCAATGTCTCCCTTCACCTACTTTTCTGTTATCCCATCCCCCAGGGAGGGGGTTATATGTAGCTCATTGTGATTAGTTCCCCTTTCTCCCCCTTCCCTCCCCTTACCCTCCTGGTATCACTACTCTCATTATTGGTCCTGAGGTGTTTATCTGTCCTGGATTCCCTGTGTTTCCAGCTCTTATCTGTACCAGTGTACATGCTCGGGTCTAGCTGGATTTGTAAGGTAGAACTGGGATCATGATAGTGGGGTAGGGGGTGGGGGGTGAGCATAAAAGAACTGGAACAATAGTTCTCAACCTTCCTAATTCTGCAACCCTTTAATACAGTTACTCATGTTGTGGTGACCCCCAACCATAACATTATTTTCATTGCTACTTCATAACTGTAATGTGGGATTGGGAAGTCTGACTCAGTCTTCCTCCATTTCTTGACCACGTTGGGAACCACCTCTCTCACCTGTTTACCTTTGGGGTTCGTGCTCCATTTTCCCCTCTTGTGCCTAGACGTAAAACTGGTTGGCTAACTTCTTCAAGTGGAAGATGAAAGGGTAATTGGTCAGAGCAGTGCAGGGATCTTAGGTCATTGCAAAGGGGGGTGAGGGGTCCTGTCATGGCCCTTTGTCTCTCCTGTGGGTAGAAAAGCTCCTAACTAAGGGACAATCTGTTCCTTGGCTCAGAAGCCAACCAAGTCCCTAAGATAGGTATCATGATTTAAATAGGATCCACTACCCCCACCCCCATATCCATGTTCTTCCCAGAACTGGAATGTGACTTGACTTGGAAATAGAGTCTTTGAAGATTGTTGGCAGTTAGCTAAGATGAGGTCAAAGGAGCCCTGGTGGCCTAGTGGTTACAAGGTGGGCTGCTAACCACAAGGTGAGCAGTTTGAAACCACTACCCAAGGCTTTCTACACACATAGGGGCAGTTCTACTCTGTCCAGTAGCATTGCTGTGAGTCAGAATCAACTCGATGGCAGTGAATTTGGTTTGAGTGAAGATGAAGTCATGCTGGCGTAGGCTGGACCTTACACCCAGTAGACCAGCATCCTTTTGAAAAGAGGTCAAGGCTCCCAACACAACCGCTGAAGACAAAGCGGGTGAATAAGCAAATATGGTGAAGAAAGCTGATGGTGCCCAGCTATCAAAAAATATAGCAGCTGGGGTCTTAAAAGCTTGAAGGTAAACAAGCGGCCATCTAGCTCAGAAGCAACAAAGCCCATATGGAACAACATATCAACCTGTGTGATCACGAGGTGTCAAACGGATCACTGAAGACAAATGGGTGCATAAGCAAATGTGGCGAAGAAAGCTGAGGGTACCCGGCTATCAAAAAGTATAGCGTCTGGGGTCTTAAAGGCTTGAAGGTAATCAAGTGGCCATCAAGCTCAGAAGCAACAAAGCCCACATGGAAGAAGCACACCAGCCTATGCAACCACGAGGTGTCGAAGGGATCAGGTATAAGGCATCATCAGAACAAAAAATCTTACCATAGTGAATGATGGGGGGAGTGCGGAGTGGAGACCCAAAGCCCATCAGTAGGCCACTGGAGATCCCCTTGCAGAGGGGTCTCAGGGAGGAGATGAGCCAGTCAGGGTGCGATGTAACAATGATGAGAAATACAACTTTCCTCTAGTTCCTAAATGTTTCCTCCCCGCTCCCACTACCATGATTTGAATTCGAACTTGCAAGTCTGGCTGGACCAGAGGATGTACACTGGTACAGATAGGAACTGGAAACACAGGGAATCCAGGGAGGATGAGCCCTACAGGACCAGTGGTGTGAGTGGCGAAACAGGGAGGATAGAGGGAGAGTGGGTAGGAAAGAGGGAACCGATTACAAGGAATATGTGACCTCCTCCCTGGGGGACCGACAACAGAAAAGTGGGTGAAGGGAGACGTTGGACAGGGCAAGATTTGACAAAATAACAATTAATAAACTATCAAGGGCTCATGAGGGAGTGGGGAGTGGGGAGGGAGGGGAAAACGAGGACCTAATGCTAGGGGTTTAAGTGGAGAGAAAATGTTTTGAGAATGATGAGGGCAATGAATGTACAAATGCGCTTTACACAATTGATGTGTGTATGGATTGTGATAAGAGTTGTATGAGCCCCTAACAAAATGATTAAAAAAAAAAAAAAAGAGGTCAAGGCACACAGACCCAGAAACACGCAGGGAGAATGTGGTGCCGAAGACTGAGAGTGGAGTGGTACATCCTACAAGCCAAAGGATGTCAAGGATTGCCAACACCACCAGAAGCTAAGAGAAGCCCATGGAAATTTCAAAGAGGTCACAGCCCAGTGACACCTAGATTTCCGTCTCCTAGCCTCCAGGACAGTGAGAAAATAAATGTGTTCTTTTAAGCCATTGAGTTCATAGTACTTTGTTCTGCTAGCCCTAGGAACCTAATACTATGTGTGGTGTGGCATGGGGAGGAAGCTGGGTTTTCCTCTAGACCAGTGGTTCTCAACCTTTCTAATGCCGCCACCCTTTAATACAATTCCTCATGTTGTGGTGACCCCCCCAACCTTAACATTATTTTCGTTGCTACCTCATCACTGTCATTTTGCTACCGTTATGAATCGGGCGACCCCCGTGAAAGGGTCATTCAACGCCCAAAGGGGTCGTGACCCACAAGTTGAGAACTGCTGCTCTAGATGCAGCCAGATTCCAGTGCATGTGTCCGGAAGAGCTGGCAGAGGCAAAGACACTAGGGCCCTTTCAGAGCCATGAGGCCAGTCAACTGAGGTGGTTGGGGAGAGGGGCAGCCTCACTCAGCTCCCAAGTCAGCCCAGAAGGCAATGCCCCAGCAAAACGGTGGGCTGAGAGAGAGCTTGCGTCACTACCAAGCATTTGTCTAAACGTGCGCATGGTTTTGGGAACTCCCAGCATGTGGGAGATCCAGGATAACAGAAATGTAGGTCTGGGGGGATCCCATGGCTAACAGCTCCTACACATTGCCATCTGTCCTAGGCAGTCCACTTCTAGTCCCCCAAGGACAGCAACCTCTCAGGATCGCCGGTTCCAAATCCTGAGCGAGGCAACGAGGGAGCGGAGGGAAGCTGGACTGCCTCCAAGTGGAGCAGCACTTGAAAGCGCATTGCGCGGCCTGATCACTGGGTGTCACTGGTGTTTGAAAGGAGCCCCAGCTCCAAGAGCACAAGGGGCAGCTTCAGTGTTCCTTTTCCTCCTTTGATGACCACCCAGACCAGTGTTTGATCCGATGGGAAAGGGAACTGGAGGCTTGTCTGTGAGAAGCCTTGGTTGTGGTGGTTCTGGTGTGTGGGGCCGCCATGTGGGCTGGCGTACAACTGTGCTCCACAGGGTTTTCAGTGGCTGGCATTGGGGACAGAGAGGGGCAGGTCTTTCTTCAGAAGCGCTTCTGGGTGGACCTAAGCCTCTAGCCTTCCAATGAGTGAGATCGTGAAGGTTTATTGTGCCAACCTGGCCGATAAAGCCATGTGGGATTAATTGAAGGGCAGAGAGCTAAATGGCTCGGTGAACCTCGCCTTTCTAGTTCTCAGGTCTCTTGCTCTCTGATGGTCAGACCAGAGTGCAGCTGCCTTCCCCAGTCCCTGCTTCAGCTGGGAAGGCTCACTTCCTGTGAGATATCCCTGAGAAGCCACATGGACCTACCCTGATGCAGCCCTGGGCGCTGGAGAAGCCGCGTGGAGACCCCTGCCAGTGCTGAGATGCTTATACCACCACTGGATTCAAAGGCTTTATACCCACTGGCCTGTGATCTTCCTGCATTCAGTGTCATTGTGTGTGTTTTGTGAGCTTGAGGACTTTGTTGATCGGTGTCGGACATATGGGCTAAGTCAGACTTAAGGGATTGGACTGGATGGAGTTGGGACGCTTTCTGAATGTACACTTACCCTTTATATAAAACTCTCTCTTATCCATATATGAGTTTCTGTGGATCTGTTTCCCTAGTTTACCCAGACGAACACAGTGAGTAACCAAGCACTTTAACTGTCTGCCATCCCTTCTTTTAGACTCCATCTTTGGGTCTGACACTTTCTGTGCCTTCCATAAGCTCCGTGATGACCTCATCGCCACTCACCCTTAGGGCCCCCCCATGCAGCACTGTTGTCCATGGGGTTGCTCACTTGGCCCTCTCTCCTTCTTAGACTGCTTGGCATAACCCAGGCTGCATTCACCACATCTGCAGTGGGGCCAACTCTGTGTCCCGAGAACACCCCATGACGGACAAGACGAGTGTTGCTTTTGATCGTGGTCACCAATCTCAGGTAGGAGTTCACTCCTTGTTAACCGTCATCTGGATATGCCTACATCTTCCTTTCTCAGCCCTTCTAAAAAAGCCAAACTCACCGCCAGTGAGCCCATGCTGACTCGAGCAACCCCCTCTGGGTTTCTGAGACTGTAACTGTTTGTGGGAGTAGAAAGCCCTGTCTTTCTCCTTTGTAGCTGCTGGTAGTTTTGAACTGCCGACCATGTGGATCACAGCCCAACATTTAACCACTGCACCAACAGGGCTCCTTCTTAAGGAACTGCATATCTTATCTTCAAACTCCAATACCCCCACCTCCATTTCCACACTCCCCCCCAAAAAACCCACCCAAAACCAGGATAGTGATACTAACTTCCTCACCAAATCTATAAACTTATCAACATGTGTATACATCTTCTCTTTCACTGCCACTCTGAAACCTGTCCCTGAGCCCCACATTCTCAAGGTTCTGGATCCCTTGGTTTTTCGGTACTTCCTTTTGGACTAATAGTATTTTTATAGCAGTGAATTTGGTGTGGGTTCATACCTCACCCTATAAACCTCTCTTTCCATCAAGAGTAATTAAACTCTAGTATACATCTCTCTAGACCAGCCACTGGCTCTGTCTTTGTTCTCCTTTGTGACTACATTCCCTTCGTCTCCCTCATCACCTGGACCACTGTGGCATAGTGGTTACACATTGGCTGATAACTGCGAGGTCACTAGTTCAAAACCACCAGCCCTTCCTCAGGAGACAGATGAGGTCTATACGCCTAGGAAGAGTTGCCGTCTCAGAAACCCACAGGGGCAGTTCTACCCTGTCCTATAGAGACACTAAGAGTCGGTATAAACTTGGTGGCAGGGAGTTTGATTTGTTTTGGGTTTTTTTTCTTAAAGTCTTCAATTTGCTCAAATCTGGCTAACCCCTCCCCCACTCCACAGAATCGACTGAATCGACCGCTCAAGGCCACCATGACCTCTGTGTGGCCAGGTGAACATGGACATAAGTGTCTTTCTTTGGCACTGTGCCCAGGATTGTGCACAATGGACCCCTCTTCTCCCCTTTACCCCACCTTTCTAAATAATATCACCCATTCCCACCGATTTATATATCACCTTCTTTATGCCAATGGCTCCCAAATGTGTATCTTTTGCCCAATTCTATATGCTGTCCCCATTTGGAGAATTCACAATTATTTGAAAATTAACAATCCAGAATGGAGTTCTCCATTGACATCTCCCCCCAAACACCTATCCTCCTTCTGTTGGTCTTCTCCATCCCATAATGATATCATCACTGCTTAAACTTGATACTTAGAAATCATTCATTTTTTTAATGCCTTGTCTCTATTCCATTAGCAAATCCTATGGAACCTACCTTCAAATTTCATTTCAAATCGCATCACATCCTTCCATTTTTCACTGCTGCTCACACCCAGCCAGGCCACTGTCATCTTTCCACTAAACTACGAGACCACATTTTTGCGTCTCTAACCTTCCTATTTCCAAGTCCTTTCGATCCGTTCCTGACAGAGCAGAAATAGGGGTCTCAAAACCAAAGGCGGTGCTGACGCTGCTATGTGTCACAGTCTGGGGTGTGGACGTAGAAAGGGGTCCTGGTGACACAGTGCTCACGTGCTCCACTGCTAACTGAAAGGTTGGCGGGACAGCGGCGCGCGGTCTGCTTCTGTAAAGCTGTGGAAACCCCACTGGACTGTTCTGGACTGTCTGCAGCATCATGGTGAGTCAGATTGACATGATGGAGATGGGTTTTAGGTTTATATGTGTAAAACACTGAGATGTGTACGTGCTATTGTATATTCCACTGCAGCTACAAGGAAGGAAGGAAGGAAGGAAGGAAGGAAGGAAGGAAGGAAGGAAGGAGAAATCCTGGGCCTCTAAAGGGCAGAGCTTGTGGTCTTCCCACTTAGGGTCTTTATGTGGTTGTAATGAGGCAGTGTCCGGTGCTGACGTCCTCTGCCGGATGGGACTCCTACCTGTGGCTGCCCTGT